GGCTGCTGGAAGTCGGCAGCTCCCGGAGGGGTTTTCCAGCCCCGCCGATGCGTAGGGATCGCCGCGACTCCTGTTTGTACACTATAGCATCCCTGTTTGCAACTTTTATTTTCCCCCGGTTAAAAGGTGCCTTTCGGTGGTGTTTAATGGTGCGTTTCAGTCAGAAGCTGTCCGGGTGAGCCCCTGGTCTGTATTTAACTTTTTCAGCCTCACCCTCTTCCCGGGCAGCGGGTGTTGACCCGCTGATGGTTGCGTGTTTGCACAGATGGTGTCAGGGATTTGCCGCTTCTGGGTTTATCCCTCGCCGAGACGTTATATCACAACAGCATGTGTCGTAGGTAAATATTGCACTGCACCTTGCGCTGCCCGGGCGAGTGTCGTTAGGTGATGGCTCAAAATCAACTTTCTCCTGGAAGATTTTAGTGTTTCTGGAAAACTCTGTGTGATTTTACAGCAGTTCAGTTAAACTCCTACTGGGCTTGAACTTTGTGAATTTAGCACCAAGTTTGTTTGAACTTGTCTCACGTCGAACTCGAGTTGTGCTTCTCCTAAGTATATGAACTGTCATCCCTTTCTGTGCTTCCTCAAGCTCCGTTTCTTGCCGGTTTTGCTGGGGAGTCACCCGAGACAAGAGCTCGTGGGCTCTGCTGGTGAGATGCGAGTGGTTCCCCCGGGCAGGCTGCAGCTCCGCTTCGTGCTCTTGTGTAATGAGATATTTTCGCATGTCAGAGTTGGAGCTTGACACTTTCAAAGGCTGTTTCTGATCTGCTCAGGAAGCAAGTCAGAGTCGATGGCCATTTTCTTCTCACAGAAAATGCTGCAAATCGGCAGCATCAGCTGTTCTCATTCTGTCCTTTCTCCTTTTCTCTGCTGCTGTTTCTTTTCTGTGGCCAGTGCTCGCAGACTGTTAGGGCTGCTTCCTTGAGGAATTCGATATTAAAAAGTTGGCGTAAGTTCAGGTTTTGGCATAAAAGAGAAGTTACAGCTTTTATGCAAAGCACCCTCGCCTCTAAAGTGAATGTAGTAGGACCTTGCTGATCCACGTTTATGCCTAGTGGTCTCCGCTCACCTCTCTGCAAAGATTTAATAACAGATGCTGCAGTGAGGGCTTGTATGGCTGAAATGTCTTTTTTTTTTTTCTTTTCCTTATATGCTACAGTTCATTTACTAGTACACTTTGGATTATGCTTTTCAAAAGCAAAGATAAATGGGAACTGTCAGAATAAGTGAAAGTAGTACAGACTTTGATGCAACTTCTTACTTCTTTTTGTTTGCTCAGTTATTAATCTACTACTTTAGCAGTGCAGGATAGTACTCCCATCACAAATGCCTGTAGATGTTCTTTACTGACTTTACATCCAATAAAAAGTACTCTTGCTGAGCTACTTAAACATATGTTGCTTAGCTTTTCTCCTATCAGATGGTAACTGTTGAGCAGGACTGGATTTGAACTAGTGATCTAGTAATGAAAGGCTCTTTGCAACCAGTCTGAGCAGCCAATCTTTTTGCATGGGATGATTCAAAATATTATTGCCAGCATTTTTTTGCTCCTTCTTTCCTTGTTTGCTTTTTTTTAGTGCATGCTTCCAGGATGAGTTGATTTATAACAAAGGCTTCCAGAGGAAAAAATGATGAAATGATTTTAAAGAGAGCGTGCTTTTTTTTTTTTTTTTTTTAATGGATTAAATGTATTAAGACCAATGGAAGGAAGAAGGACTCAATGCCTTTGGAGGAAATTTTGCTGCCTATGTGTATGTGAGATTAAAACTGTTGGAAATAAGTACTTGATTCAAACCATGTTGAAGAGTAGTCTTGCATTTTTATGCTTATTTTTCACACTGGGTTATGTGTTAGAAGCCGTAACGCTGCGATGTAGCGGTTCTCAGCCCTGCTAACTTACCCACATCCTCAAATTCTGGACCTGATCCTCTCCGGCCTCGGGAGCAGAGGCCAGTGCCGCAAGCGCGAGGCCGCCGTGGCCGGCGTTCCGGACATGGGGATTTGGGAGCAGGCGCTCGGAGGCCTTGCCGTGTCACCGAGGCCGTTCGGCACCTCGTCGGGGGCTCTCAGCACTTTGTAAACCAAGCAGCTCAACTGGTTCCTTTACAGCTGCCTGGCTGCACATTTGACAGTGATGAGCTCCAGATGACCACGTTTCCTCTTAAACACCTCACCCAGTAAAATAAATAACGAGGAAATATGCGGTAGGATTATTCCGTGGAGCTCCCTGACGGAGAGACAAATAACCATAAAAGATGAGGGGCAACTTGCTTCTTTGAGAGATGTTCGCTGGTGTGAGTAGCTCTGTGAAAGCACCGCCGTGGAGAGGAGAGCACCAGGGCCACGTCTGCACATGGAACTTTAAAAACGCATTTACATCTTGGAAATCCTTCTGTGCCCTGCTAATTGAACAGAGGGATTTCTTGTTGCTTGGGGTATCCTGACAGAAAAGGAAGGGGCTGTGAATTAAAGTGTTCCTCTCCTCAACAGCCTTGTTTTTGTTGTACTTTGGAAGTCTGATGTGTATTTTATTATCTTCTGTTAGTGTTGCTAGTTTTGTGACTTGGGGAAATGATGGATTTGGCTGCTCAAGGGGGACTATGGTTGTAAAATGAGCTTGAATAACTGGGAAGATAGTTTTGTCAAGAGGGAGCCGTGCAGGGCAGCGTGCAAACCACTTCCTGCTTTGGGTCCTGATTACTTTTATTTTGTATTCTGATAATTAACTATTTATAAATTCTGTAAAGAGCAAGCCTGGCCCCGACCTCTCCTCGCAATGGGCTGCATAATTAAAACCGCAGCGGGTGAGACCAGGTTTGCAAAACCGCCTCAAGTTCAACCACCCGGCTGCACCCGCTTAGTGAATTCCTACAATGAGCATCCCGGTGTCCCCAGAAAGCTGCTCCGCGCTGCTGCCTCCCGACACGGTTTGTACAAGTGGGACTAATGTCCTTCCCAGCCTTGCAACATCCCGAGCTGAGGACTCGGCCGGTGGGTGGTGCCGCGCGGCGTTCGCTCTGCCAGCGGCCGTGAGTGACGTTCGCTTCACCGGGAACGCGGAGCGGCGCCTCCGAGCGCGTCCTCGTGGCAGGCGTGCGGGGCAGCCCTTGCTGGTCCCAGATTCAGTGAAAATACACGGGCCTTTCCGAGCTGGGGAGTTGAAAGGTCGTTTATTGCTGACATTTTTAGAAAGTCCTAATTCTGTTTAGAAGAGGAGACGTCATGGTCACTCAGAAGTTTTTTGTGGTGGGTTAGCGCCTTGTATTTTTGTAAAGCCATATTCCTTTTAACCCTCCTGGAAAATTCCCATTGTGCATTAATAGTAGCTGATTAAAAAAAGAATCAAAGCCAAAATAGCAGTATTGGAAATATGAGACTCGTATTCACAACTGGATGGATCACAGGGTGTTCTTCATGCTGTGTGCAGACTGCTAAAGTGCTGCGTGTGGGACATTGGCCAACTAGGCTCTGAAGGCTGCGGTTTCGTGGTGCCAGTATTTCCTTTTTTTGTTGGGTGTCACAGTATTATGTCCATGCAGACACTAATCTGTCCAGTAAGCCGGTGTCATGGTCTCTCATAAACGTGTAGCTCTGTGGTATGGGAAATAGAGACATGCACACAATCTGTACAAGACTCAAACATCAACTTATCAGAAAGGAGATTTTATCGCACATGTACAGAAATTGCTGCACACAGATTTATAAATTGGTCCAGACATTTCTGTACTTGATATTCAGATACGTTGTTTAATTAAAAAAAAATATTATTCTTTGTAATGCAGTTTCACCCTGTATGATTTGCAAAGTCCGGTGATAGCTAAATATACTCTTCTGGCAGATATTTTATTTAATTGGTTTCTGTTTTGTTCAGTTTGCAGTAAATTGTGCTGCAGGAATCTATAAAGAGGACTGACTTCAGTAATACTGTAGCAGTATCTGTGGCAGAAAATGTAATTATTTGCCCAAACCGGGCAGAAGTCAGTTTGTGGCGAGGTTTTGGTCCTGTTTCTCAAGAGAAACTGCACTACATTTTATGAAACTAAAAGGAGCATGAGGTCAAAAATCCGGACGTCTCAGACCTTTGATAAATGACAGATATATTGCAGAGTGAAAGGCAGGTTTCCCAAGGGGAGGATTTTTTTCTTAAAAAGTTCCTTGAAATGATAGTGCAATAAAAAACAAACAGAAACCCAACCTGGTAATCATATTTGAATGGAACAGAAAAATCCCACGCTAGAAGCAGAGTGATTTTAAGCTGACTGAAATTACTGACAAGTTTTTTTTTTTTCCCTTGATATGAGTTTTATGGTTAGTTTCCCACATTTTGGGGGCCATGCTGAGGGTTCCCTCTCCCCTGCTCCACACGTTCTCCTTGCTGATCTCTCCTGCCGCCCCTTCCTGCGTGTGATGAGGAGAGGAGAGGGCACCCCCAGGTGCCGGAGCAGGCCCGGAGCGGCAGGTGGGTTAACGGGGATGGGCTCGTGCAGCCCTGCGCCCGCGGGCAGGCCCGGTTGGACCCGGTGTGCTGGTCTGACTGGCGCTACCTGGTCTGCTTGGGAGCAGGTTCCTGGCGGCCGCCGTGTGAGGAGGAGCTGCTGCCGCCGCCGCGCTCAGGGAGAGCGCACGTGGCGGGGGGCTTTAAGCATCGCAGGGAAAGGTAGTGAGGAGCAGTAAGGACCAAGGCAAGACGGGTATCGCCGGTGCTGCCGCGGTGTTGTGTGTGCGCGGTAAAGCAAACTGGGCCTAACGGCCATTGTTAGAGAGGCGTTTAGGCCTCTGCGACAAGGGTCACATCTCACAGGGGTGACTGAAATTGCGGGGTTAGAAATCTGCTCATGGAGATTTCTGGAGAAAGATGTGAGGACACTCCTTTGGATTTCACTAAAATTTTATTGGATTTGTTGGGAAAAACAGATGGGGAGAAAATGAGGAAGTTTTCAGGAAAGCCTCTCAAACGAGAAGCTCTGTCTGGTGAGTATCTATTTGCCAAGTAAAAACATGCCACTGCCCACATTATGGAAGTCCTTTATGTCAAACCCTTTGTTTGTCCAAACGCTTTGGCATTGTTTGAATTAGGACCGGAGGATATTAGGATAAGGAGAGATAATCTCTTACATTGCAGATTATATAATTCCTTCAGCGTTTAGGTTCCCATGGGCTACCCCCCCACCGCTTTGCCCCAGCAATAATAAAATAAAACCCTAATAAAATACCAGTGACAAAAATACTCTTCAAAATTAAACCTGGACTTTTGTGGTAGGAAGGCGATAGAGAAGGTCTCTGGATTCATCTCTCCTGGCAGTCTTACCACATGTGGAAGAAGGGTTGAGTGAACTGTCCTCTGAGACATGGATCTCTCTCCTTTCACTGTAGGAGCCTGGGTGACTAACTTGGATGAAACACGCGGGTTATTTAAAGTTATGCCTAACCCAAATATATGGAATTTATTGCTGAGGGATGCAGTTATTTCCTTCCTACTTATTGTATTATGGTTGTTGGAGTTTCAGGCAGGGACAAAGACTGTTGTGGTAGATGCTACAGAAACCCGAAGCAAAAATACAATTGCGGCTCTAAAGACTTCATAATTACAGTTTTACTTACTTATATCCCTGGGAAGGAGAACTGTATCCTTAAAGGATAAATATACATGGCAGAGATTATGCAGGGATCTGTGTTTCAGTCCAAGAGCTGCTCTAGCAGCTGTTTAAGTATTTTTTCCTAATG